AATAGTGTAATATCACAACATATAAAAACACTATAGAATAACCGTTGAAATGGCTTTACTCAATCAAAAGACATATTAACACAAGTGAACAAACACTGGACGAATAAATATATACTGATGGACTTTATAAACGCAACACTAGATAATTCTATTTTATTCCCATTTTCAAAAAGGTAATGTTTGTAAACTAAATGTAAATAAATAAACTTTAATTATGTCGTAATTGCCTGGAAAAAGTTTGGAGTTTAAAAACTGAACTGATAACGTCATTTTTTAAGTTCAAATCATGTGGTATGCATTGGTTTTCCCCTTATCAATGGGTGTGTCACCGTCGAATGCAATGACTGCCTGCAACCAGCGCCAAAAAGATTGTCAGAAACGTCAACTAATTCTTTTGGGTATGTTTTCCGTTTTTTTTTTGTACATTATGAGTTTGCCTCTGTCCCATGCATTACAGTGTGTTTTAGCCGTTAAGTTGTTGAAATTTTATTGCTTGAAATGTTTTAGTGAAGTCGATTCTTTTGCCTTTTAGTATACGGGAATCATTTTTGACATTAAACTGTCTGCCATTGCATTCTTGACTTGATGAGCAGTTGATGTTGCGGTCGTTAAAATGACGTGGCACATTTTTTTTTTGTATTGACGTTGCGTTTTCACAAGATATTGATCTGGTCATAAAAGGTCTTCAAAAATTCTATGTCTGTCTGTACCGTTGTTGTAAGGACGAGTTTCTGATGTAAAATCGTCTGAAAACAGCACATTCACACATTCCTGCATGCACTATTCGTATAGCCTGATTCCGATTGTCATTGCTTAGTCTTGACAATATGAAGGTGCAACATTTGTTTGATGATTTAAAATTGGGTATGAATTAAAGGAATTGTTTCATGAACAAAAATCCTTAAAAAAATCATTTATGGGTTTCAAATTTTTTAAGAAATCCGTGCGACTTGAATAATACAGTATGTTCAATAACCTCAGGTAGTCAGGTATTGATTTTTCTAACCAGGCACACTTTTTTCAGTAAAAGGTTTAACGGTTTTGTCTCAAAAAAGACTGTATTCATGAACTACAAAAAAGATCAAGGACAGATGAACCTTGCCAGACATGCATGTTTATCTGAGAACCCTTATGCACACCACAAAGTTGTAAGAATATGCTTAAAGTATATTGGAAACGCACCTCATTATCAAAATTAACAATGCAAAACACTCCGTACAGATGGAGTCACTGTAACACGTAGCATGTCAGACAGATATACACCTTACAGTCATTCAAAGTATCAAATATAATTACCTTTTGATTATTGTATCAAAACCGTTTTCACAAAAAATTAACAAATGAACTTTAAAAACAAGAATAAAACCTTTCAAACATACATGCATATCATAAAATCATTCCATAAAATACATGTAGTTGTCATATCCCTTAACGTATCGGAGATAAAGACAAAATGATTTATAAATTAACAATTCTTCTTTACATATTTGTTTGTTTTTGTAGTGATTAAGATTATAACACAATGTTGACTGCTGTACCCCTATTTTTGATGTGTTTTCCTATTAAAGTCTGTTTGTTTTGTTCACACATCGTTTTCAATATACTGTGAATTCATTATTATTCGTTGGATACCAATTTTCGTGGATTTCGTGGGTTTAGGTGAAACACGAAATTAAAAGTTCAACGAATGACAAATTTTGTATAGGCTCTTATGTAGTCTTCGTCAAAACCACGAACATTAATGTCAACGAACATGATACTGTAATTTCAGAAATTATTGCGAGGTTTTTATTTTTGCGACAAATGCGACAAAGTTGTTAACGCAATAATTTAAACTCGCATTTTAAAATATTTTATATGAAACAGGATTTTTCTCAAAATCGTAAAAATTAAAATCGCATTAAAGTCTAAAATGACAAAATCGCAATAATAAATGCCCGCAATAATTTTTGAATTTACAGTAGTTTTCTCAATCCACGAAAATTGGTGCCCACGAAAATAAATGAATCTACAGTAATGGAATTTGATGCAACTGTAATACAAGTGAGAGGTTTAGCTAGCTATAAAACCAGGTTTAATCCACCATTTTCTACATAAGATAATGTCTGTACCAAGTCAGGAATAGGACAGTTGTTATCCATTCGTTTATTGTGTTTCAGCTTTCGATTTTGCCATTTGATTAGAGACTTTCCTTGTTAAATTTTCCTCGGATTTCAAATTTTTGTGATTTTACTTTTAGCCAGACATGCATGTATTCCTGAGAACCCTTATACACACCACACCATTGTAAGAATATGCTAAAGGTATATAGGAAACGCACCTCACCATCAAAATTAACAATGCAAAACACTCCATGAAGATGGGGTCACTGTAAAACGTAACCAGTCAGACAGATATACACCTTACACATGTTACAGTCATTCAAAGTATCAAATTCATTTCACCTTTTGGTTATTGTATCAAAACCGTGTTCACAAAAAATCTAACAAACGAACCATAAAAACAAGAATAAAACCTTTCAAACATACATGTACAATGTATATCATAAAATCAATCCATAACAAACATGTAGTTGATATATCCCTTAACGTAATTGAAATACAGACAAATGATATATAAATTAACCATCAGTCAAGATACAACACAATATTTAAGATTAAACGAAGTTGAAAAACCACAAATATACACCATTCAATCATTTCATTCGTTACCTTTTGGTTATTGTATCAAAACCGTTTTCACGAAAAAGTTAACAAACGAACCATAAAAACAAGAACAAAACCTTTCTAACATACATGTACAGTGCAACCTGTGTAATCCGACACACAACTCATTTTACATCATAATCATACAGATGAAGGATATCTGTTTTCCGAAATATTTAACATTTGTTCATATTATTATTATTTTGTGGTGATGTTGTACCCTTTTAATCTTGTCATATATTATGTTTTGAAGTGTAGTGTATCGATTTTGTTTGTTTTGTTCACATATCGTTGTCCATATGATGGAATGTGATGCGACTGTCATATAAGTAAAAGGTTAAGCGCTTTAAACCAAGGTTCAATTCACCATTATCGACATAAGAACATGCCAAATTCCTACAAACATAAGAAAATGCCTGTACCAAGTTAGAAACATCCATTCCTTTGATGTGTTTGAGCTTTTAATTTTGCCATTTGATTATGTACTTTCCGTTTTGAATTTTCCTCGAAGTCAAGTTTTTGTGATTTTACTTCTGACTGTTTTAACACGTGAAACCGATCCTCAAGTAACCAGCAGAAAGGAATTGAGGGCCTAGACCTTTTGCTGAAAATTAAAAAGAATGGTAATATGCCTCTAGATTCAGACAAAAAAAGATTTGATATAATGGCTCTGTGTTTCAACACACGGGACTGAGTCTCCTATGAACAAAAGAAAAAGGAATTAAGAGCCCACATCCCTTGTTTAAAACTTGGGAACAGGCCTTAACATGTTAAGGAACAAACGAAAAGTAATTGAATTATTTAACCTTAGTCAAAATTAAATTACAAATTTGAAATATTATACCAGCTTTAATCAGTGCTGTTTATTGGGAATGTATTTCCAAGCAATCGTTGTTGTAACGCCTTAATTGTCGTCATCTTTGAAATTTTAGAGTTGTATCAGTTCATATCGCACATTACTGTTTTTATTTAAAGCATATCTTTGCAGTCTCTGTTGTAAAAAACTATATAACCTTCGTCATGCTTTAAATTTTAGAATTGTACAAGCGTCTAAACTATGATGATCGGTTTTAGCTGTTTTATTGTAAAAATTTCAAGATTGATATGATTCATTTTACTTCATAATCATACTGATGAAGGATATCTGTTTTCCGAAATATTTTACATTTGTTCATATTATCATTATTTTGTGGTGATGTTGTGCCCTTTTAATCTTGTCACATATTATATTTTGTAGTGTAATGTATCATTATTAAATAATCCATCGCCCCGTAAGATTTATCATTGGCTATTATTCAGTCATTTAATATCAATATATACATGTATATTCATATATACTTGTAGTCTGTTTAAAAAATGAATCATATGCAGTTAAAGTCATAATTAGAAACACCTTGACCTCATTATCTATTTTCTGGATCATTAACCTCAAATTGAAAAGATCAAGTTATGCTTCAGTTAAGGTTTACGAGTTATAATCATTTACTGCTCGTATCAAAAACATAAGAGAAAAGAACTCTCATATGGTATCTACTGATTACTTTGGTTACATTTTTTTTTCGAAATCCTGAGGATGTAAGAGCAATTTGAAAAAATAAATCAGTTATGTTTAAGAAGATCAATCACACAAAAACGGTATTCTGAGAGGTTACAATAAAAAGAAAAGCATTCGGTTAAGATTACACAGATTCAAAAGCCAAAAAACATCCTGTTCTATATCATGGACAAATAGAAAGACCTGCTAATATTATTAAAAACGTAACTAGACTCAAATGAGAAAAAAACATTCGAGAGGATAGAAACCAAGAGACACCAATAAAATATCCATTTCAAAACTGCTCAAGTACAAGCAATCTTTATTGAGATGTATTACATTGCATATAAACTTAACTTTGACCTATAACGGTTAACTTTTACAAATTTTGTATTGGATTGAGAGTTGTCTCATTGACACTCATACCACATCTTCTTATTTATACTATCTGAAAAACAGTACAAAAATGTTCTTTGATCGAAATGCATATAAACTATACATCAGACTGTATATCTGTAAAGATTTATATACACAGCTAGTATGTATCTTAAGTTATTTTACATCTACACAGATGCACATATGAAGATAAAATGCAAATTAAAAACAATGTATAATATATACATTTTAATATGTTTATATTCAGTTTATATGCATCGGATCTGATGTATATTTCGTTGAAAGCTTTACAGACGTAACGTTAGTTTGAGGGAGACTTATAGAATATCAGTTATTAATTACAGAAACAGACTGAAATAGATAAGTCAGTTTAAAGATTTTAATGAACCAAACAATCGTCTTTTTGTGAAGCGCTTCGGTGGCAGGGTACATTATATCTAAGGACAAATCTTCTGAAAATACACAACATATTAATTGTTAGTCCATATATTCTACAAACAATTAATAAAATTAAATAAAACAAAAAAAATTCTTCACCGAATATTCCACAAAAGGTTTTTTTACAATTTTAAAATGTCGCGGTATAAGTCTCGGCACCGAATTTATGCACCAGACGCTGAAATACGACTTTCATACAAGTGAAACGTTTAGCTAGCAATAACACTAGGTTTAATCAACCATTTTCTACATGCTTGTTCTAAATCAGGAATATAACATTTGTCTTCATTCGTTTGATATGTTTTATCTTTTGATTTAGACTTTTAATTAAGGACTTTCCATTTGTCAAAATGTTTAAATTTGATAAATAGAAGATGTTATCATTTCGGTTTGTCCTTAGTTACAGTCAAGTATCTACATAGTTTAAAAGAGTATTGTCATCCAATGACATTTTAAAGAGCCACCACATATTTTGATAATCAGGAAAGAATTACAATTATTTGAATAAAAAAAATGTTCGAAAAAAACACATAATTTCTACATAAAATGAACGAAAAGACTATATCAATGAGACATATTCAAATACATGAGAAGGTGATATACAAGGAAAATGGATGATTCCAATTATCTATTAAATCAATTATTGTTTACATATGTTATAAGGATAAACTACTTTTGAAATTAATAGTATCGTCGATAATGTTAAATGTTTGGCAACTTTCAAAGTATTTTTCTAATATACATGTACGTATTCGTGTAATTTCATCTAGTTATTAATTAGAATATGCATTTTATTTAATCTTACGGATTGTGGATTCATTATTATGCATTGGATACCAATTTTCGTAGATTTTACTGGCACAGGGAAACCATGAATTTAAATGTTCAACGGATTACGAAAATATCCATAAAAACGCAAACAGAATATGTCAAAACTACGAAATCAAATATGCACGATAATTCCAAGTTGTCATCAATTCTACAAAAAAACAATGTACCCATCCATACCTATTTTCGTAACTTTCGTTGGTACAGATGAACCACGTAGTTAAAGGTTCAATGAAAAGCACATGTTCTCTTGGTTTTTTTGCGGACCTGGCCAAACCACGAATTCAGATATTCACGAAAAGTGTTCCTTTATCCAAGAAAATTGGAACCCACAAAAAGTAAGTGAATCCACAGTATTTTGAAATTCAAACATGCATCCACTGAAGCGTATTCCTCAGTATTTGATAATGACGTATTTGTACATGTATAAATCGTCACACGAGTCATATCAATAAGAAAACTCTGTAATAGAACCCCAAAATGTTGTACGACTTTCTGAACCTTGGATAATATTTTCTCAGAACATTAAAAACAAGAATATATAACTTTATGATATGAAAAAAATATTCATTTTGATAAGTTACTTTTGATTGGATCGATACAGCGATTTTTATAAACTCCAGATATATGGCATTCACCGAGGATAACAATTGTTTTAGTTTATAATACGCTCCAATTTCTAGTATTTGCTCAAGATATGTAACTACACTTTTTCTATTTTATATATTATCTGCGTTTCAAAAGTTAAAAATATATAAGAGAATGTCTTAAAATTGACATCGACAAAAATGAGACAAAAATCAAAATTGTGCATGACGTCATGAGCCTACATTATTGACCTTACCTAGGGAATTTTATTTTTGTTACACGTTAGATGTTCTAAATCTGATAATAACCTATCATGATGTTTTCCGCGGTGAGTATAATCTTTTATTAAAGAAGACATGTTTTTGCCAACGAGAAAAGAGAATGTTTAAGTCCTATAATAAAAATATGAGTCAAACTCACTCTTGGATATTCGCAAACGAATGACGCAGTAACGGAACAAGTTCTTGGTCTCCAGTACCAAACCAGAGACCCAACAAAGATAGGACTCATTCCTAAACATTCACTATCAGTATTAATAAAAGTCTGTAGTCCTGCATTTGTTGCCGTATTTACTGCAAAAAAGTGTATTAGTTGCAACTGTTGTAACATGAAAAGGACTAAACATTCACCATCAGTATTAATAAAAGTCTGTAGTCCTGCATTTGTTGCCGCATTTACTGCAAAAAAAAGTATTCGTTGCAACTGTTGTAACATGAAAAACATGTCAACTGTGAATAAAATAAAATAAAATATGGATAATCAGAAAATTAAAACAAACAAACAGACACAAAAACGAAGCTGAAAAACGTGTTTTCTTGTTTATGTGTCATTAGACTGAACTTAACAGTACAGTAATATCATCTATATAACAAAAATTAAACATATCGTTTTAGCAAGACATTACGATTTTTTTCACCTAAGGCATGAACGATTGAAAATTTAAATATCGTGCTTCTGCTAGCTGATAGCTCATTTTCATGACCATATATTTAACTTATAATTATTTAACATCTATCAACACCAAAGATTCATACCTCGTTTGCCTAAATTTTGTGAAAACCACAACTTCTGACGGGGGTATTTGATAAAGGTATAAGTCCTAAGTCAGGAATCTGAGTTTCAGTGGTTGTCGTCTGTTTATGTGTTTCATAAGTGTTTCTCGTTTTTATATAGATTAGACCGTTATTTTTCCCGTTTGCATGGTTTTACATAAGTAATTGTTGGGGCCCTTTATAGCTTGCTGTTCGGTGTGAGCCAAGGCTCCGTGTTAAAGGCCGTACCTTGACTTATAATGGTATACTTTTATAAATTGTTACTTGGATGGAGAGTTGTCTCATTGGCATTCATACCACATCTTTCTATATCTATAGACTTCAAATACAATATATGGAACTAAGAGATGTATGAAGTACCCTAGTTTCGAAATGATCATCATATTTGTTTGAACTTTTGGCCCTGTACGTCATATACAGTAAGTCGAAGTTTATCATTTAGGAGATAACTGTATTGTATTTTAAGCTTCGACGGCATCAATTGATGATTTGATGATCGATCGCAAATCAAGTTAACTGGTGACGCGGTAGCCAGTTAACGGGTATTTGCTACCATCAAATCACCAATTGATGCCGTCTGAGCTTAAAATACAATATTGTTATCTCCATTCTAATATATCTGACAGAAAACCACGTTATCCAATCAAAATGAACGTTACAAACGAAACGCGCGTCTGGCGTAAATATAAAATTTAATCCTGGTATCTATCATGAGTGTATATATGACTATGATTCATTACTAGAAATAAATGCATCGTCTTAAAAAAAGTGACATAACAGAAACAGATTATGACCAGATGTTTAATTTCTTTTGCGACCCTGTAGGTACCACATGTAAAGCAGTAACTTGTTGCCCATCAGCGTTCCTCAGATCTTCCCGATTCATATCAGGGATTAAGTTATTAATGAATAGTTTTTATATGATTTTAACTGCTAATTATGTTAGTGATGTTTGTCCTTAACAAGTTTATGGTGTTTGTCTTTGTATGTTTGTTGTCTGTTTGAAAGCCCTCTTTGAATCTTCTCCCTTTTTCATATGAGAGAAAAGTATAAGAGTTGTATGATTAGAAGACATTGTCGACAGACCGTTGAAGACCCTTATGTAGTGAAATAGGATGCTATAGAAAAAAATATTGCCTATATTGATAGTATAATCCAAAGGCCTCGTTATAAATTTTCTACTTTTATGAAAAAGTTGTCACGTATTTCAAAATCCTGCTATCGGATATTTGTATTGGTATTGCAAATATTCTGTATTGTTATGATCTATGTATGAATAACGGTGCGGCTTTTGGTCCCATAAGTTGATTTAGAGGGGGTCCTAATTACTTCCATGTTACAAAGATACAGATTGACAATCAAATTCGTAAGTAGAAAATAACTTACAACGCCATGGCGAAAAAGGAAAACAGACAAACATTTTTTTGCAAAACACAACATTAACAACTAAAGAATTAGCAACACAAACCCCACAAAAAAAGGGTTGACATCAGGTGCACCGGCAGTGTAAGAAGATCCTGCTCCACATGTGGAAAGTTATAAAACACGTTTAAGTACAAATTTCATCAGTATTTCATTTTTCTTCAGAAGCTGTAAAGAGGAGTAGCTATAGTATAATCGCTTTTACCCTATTACAGTATATAGAGAAATTACAGCAAAGACTAAGATTTGAATTATTACTATTAAAAGAAACACTGCATACTATTGTGTGTGTCAAATCGGCGAGTTCTAATTATTGCGATGGTTACCCAGTCGCAAAATTCACATTAAAGAAAAACCTCGCAATAATTTCTGAATGTTATTACCAACACATATCAGTACATTTCCCACACCTGTGTGGTATGGTGTTCCCAATATAAATTGTTATGAATACCATAAAAGACAAAAATAGCAGCAAGTTGATTTAGAAGAGCTCATAGTAATATAAATATATATTCATTGTAATTATCTTAAATTTTAAGTTACCTCCAAATGGTACCTGATCCAATACAAATCCAGTATTGCCAATTTTAAATACAAACTTTCCATTAATGTCTTTTTTGCCACCAACCCACAGCATTTCTCGTTTTCTAAAAGAATGATATTAAGCATGTTAAGGTTAGTAACTTCAGAAGGTAGTTTATATCAATGTAAATTAAAACTTCTGTAGAAAAAAGGATTTTGAATCGAACAAATACCGACAACACCATTTCTATTCTAGTTAACTATTTGTGGAATAAAATATACCCTTTTCTTGCTTATTTATATAATGTAAATGATTAGTATCTTTAAAAAAATATTTTTAGAAATAAAACTAAAAACTAAAAAATTTCAAGAAAAAAGAAAGTTTTATATGTTAACAATTGCAACAATACTCATTATTGTAAATTTAACTAGTAGGCTATGTTACAAGACTTGAAATACAACAGACGACATAATATGATCTTTGAAACATTGTTTTCAGACAATCCACTAATTTCAAAATATTTGCCGTAATTCATTGTCCACTGAATTTATAAATGATATAGTTGATCAACATTATACATGTTATATATATACCATGTAAAATGACGATTTTGATAAACCTGTTCATTCATGCAGACATTTAAGGAAGTACTTTTTATCAAAAGAATCATCTACATAATTCCTTTTTTTCAATGTCAAAAGTAAAATCACAAAAACACTGGTCTCCGAGGAAAATTCAAAGCGGAAACTCTCTATTAAAATGGTAAAATCAAAAGCTTAAACACATCAAATCTGAGATAAATCCTGTGATAAGAAAAAGTTATTGGCATTTTCATTTTGATCCTGTCATTGTCCTAACATTGGGCCAGTATTTATTGTAAGCCACCATGCAGTTGAAAATGATGGCACACAAACCACATATTCTTATATCTTTTAACTTTATAAAAATATAGAAGACGCACCTGTTTCATGTTATCTCGGAAAAAAGCCCGTTTACTATTAACAAAATTAGAAGGCACTCCTTTCGCCTTAACGCTGAGGTAAACGTGGAAAGAAACGCCCATTTACGTTTGATGTTTACTACAATTTTGGAGTAAACGCAGAGTTAACGCGGTGTTTACATGAAGTGCACGCGAGTAAATGCCGCGTGATTTTTTTCGTGCTTCTATATGTAATGCTTGGTCTGCAATCAACTGTATATTTTCATCGATAAAGAATTATCATTGATATTTCACTCTTAACTTACCAAGCATAAGTTTAGTCTGTACGGAATTGGCTTCCGCCTCACTGTTTGGGTTCCACAGGAAAGCTCCAGGAGTCATGGCACATGTCCTCTAATGTTGCAAAAAGAAGACATCTCTAATGTGAATCATTATTTCAACTACCTATTTTTATAAGTAGCATGATATATTAATATGAATGTATGTCTGTTTTAATTTGTTTTTGTATCATATAAGAAAACCATTTGACTTTTATTTTGTCTTAAGCTTTATAATCTACAATATGTTCAACTTGAACCTCTGCTTATACGATGAAAAAAATAATTGTTTTTTAGTTATTGGTTACTATTATTACCCAGACAATTCAGTTAACATAAAACTAAACTTCAATGTTCTTAATTCAACTTTCGTTATGTTCATGCTGTCTTGTTACTCAATAACCCAAATCTTATCTTATCACTTATCTCAGTGAACTTGAGATAAAAAAAAAGCTGTCGAGACTAGAAGGTCTACTGCATATCTATTTTTTGTTCGGATATGAAGCCTTCTTCAACGATTTAAAACTAGAATCTTTCATAAACGTGATGATTTTAACACCCCAATAATCAATATTCCCTATCTTAGCAGTAGCATACCACTTGGTCATTCTTAAGGAGGATACTCATCAGAATTAATTGGTTGTTCTCGTGTATGTTCATACTACTCTGATTTTATTAGATTCGTTACATAAATTGTTTCAAGGAATAAGCTACTTAAATCGCCACTACATGCGTTTTATAACCTCGGTTTCGTTTTGTGACCCTTGATTTGTTTTCGGTTAATCGGTTTATGACTATTGAACAGCGGTTTACTTCTGTTGACTTTAGTTATGGTCACCATTACGTACAACAATGTATTTGTTTACCGCTACGGTATATTTAGATCTTTAGCTTATAGTTTTAAATATTCAAATACCAGAATATTCTTTGAATCTGTTATGTCAACCATTGTGTCAGATTCATACTTGTGCCATTTTGACTAAGTATGGCTTTGCATAAGGGGTAACGTATGCATAAGAGGAGACGCGATGTCAGTGTACTCTGTCTCGTTGCAAAAAGAAAAATTGTCATAGGATAATTTTCGAAAAGTTCTTTCTACAAAACAAAGTAATAATGGACTTATTTGAAATTATATGATATCAATATGTTACGAAATAAAGAGTTTAAATTGTTTCTATTTTAAACATTACTCACCCAAGCGTTATACCATGATTTTTCAGTATTTCCACTATACAGGTAACAATTAGGGCTAGCATTTTGGTCAGTAAGCAACACATAACCATTAGGGCAATTTGTTTGAATACATGGTGCTATAAATATGACAACATTGGAGTTCAAAGAATTAAAACAATGGAAAAACATAAATGAAGATAAAGTTACCACGTTCAACACAATGTTTTGAATAATTCTAAATGCAAAAGCATTACAAAAGAGGCGGAGGTATCATGAATTGAAAATAAACTGCCAAAGACATGTCATCAGAGAGAAAAAGAGCTAATTTATACAACAAATTGCAAAAAACAAGCAACAGTCTACAAAACACAATAAATAATATTAAAGACTGTGCAACACCAAAAACCGGGGTAATCTCAGGTGCTCCGGAAAAGTAAGCAAATATCGAATTAACGTTCTGTCCACAAATAGTTCGTGCACATGTAATATTATCGATATGTATCATGTTATGTTTCTATTAAAACAAAATGATGAAATATGAATATAAGAACTCTGGGATGGAGTGTTAACGTAAATGAGACCGTAATCAACGACACAAATAACCAAACATTTATTGACCGATGTTTTATTAAATGTGTCTTGCCTGTGTAATAAGTTGTTCAAAATGCATATTCTGTCTTAAATGTCCCCTCCAAACCGATCACCTACCCCCATCCCCATCCCTCACCCACACACAAACACACATGCAAACATATACTTTTCATAAAAAAAAAGAAAAAGAACTCGGTTTATTAAGTAGAGTTTATTTTCAGTTTATCACTACCTTCCATTGGAATGTACTAAAAAAAATAAAAAGTGAATGTTTTAAAACAATAATTTACATGTAGGCCATTGTAAAAGAGAGGCAAAATTTTCAAAAGGTATCGTTCGTCCTTAACATGCATGGAATATTTGCCACTGGACGTTAAGCAACCAACAACCAATCATTAGGAATATTCCAACTTATAAGTTGAAACCCAACTCATAATGACATGGCAGTATAACAGGGGAAAAACATAAAACATAACCACAGTATACAACTGTAAACAACATAAAGCATAACAAATTAAAGACATATCAACACAAAAGTGCTTTTTGTCTAGACACGATAAAGCTTGCTTCAAATAAAGGTGGATATACACATCCAAATGTATTGGTAACATTATAGATTGACAATGTAATTATGACATCTATAGCTTAGTTATTCAATGTTTCTGATAGACGCACTAGAAAATTGTTGCTATATGAATCACAGACAGGTGCATACATCACTGAAGGACTACTTCATACTACATATAGATCGAGGCCGTTGCGATATTAAGGTAACAAGAGGGGAATACCGACATTTGTTATATCTTAACATAAGCTAAATGATTTTGTCAATAATACTCACTATTTGTTGTTGATGAGGTTTGCGTTGTTGATAAGGCTTGCATTGTTGGAGTCAAAGTTACCTGACTGACACTAGTTGTTGTACTGGGAATCATCATTCCCATCATAGCCATCATAGGTACCGTAATCAAAGATTGGAAAAAAAGTAGGGAAAAAATAGATCCAAAGCCGTTTCCAAAAAAGTTTCCTATAAAAGTTTCTGCAATGGATTTTGAAATAAAAGATGAGTAAATGTAATACAAATAACCAATGATTATAATTGATAACTACTTAGTATAGTGTTCTTTCAACACCAGATGAAAATAGTTCAAACATAAGATTGGTTGTGTTAAGTCATCTTGAATGGCGTTACCGGTATCACGGATGATAAATGTATATCGTCAAGTGTCAGATTTCACATTCAAATCTATATGCATCATACATGTACGTGTGATCTTTAGAATATTATTATGTTCTATTGTGATCAGCTCAGCAGTCACGTTTAAAATATTTTTCAAAGAACTGGTATGTTTAAAACATCAATGCATTTACTGGTAATATTACAACGACCAAAAGTGTTGTGTTCAGTTGGAATTTTTGTATTGACATTATTATGTGTGGTTTTCATTTTTTTACGTGTTGTCGATATTACAAGTATTTGATAAACACATTGCACTTGAAATTTGAATTCATGAAACAAATAAAAAATCATTTTTAATGGCGCTCCGAATATGAAACTATGAACAAGTGTTTAAAACTTTTTGTATATTTTATTTTGCTTATGGTTTACTGTTTTATTTTAAAGTTGTCCGAATTAAAAAAAAAAACAAGTGTGCAACAAAAGTAAATTGCAATATACATGATATAGAAATATCAATATGTTATAAAAATGTATAATTGCAATACAGAGTTTACATGGTTCCGCATTTGTTTTTGTTTTTTTGTACTCTATCAAAGCAAGACGGGCAGTTCTTTTGTTGTTTTGTTGTTTTTGTTATATTTCTTTCGACAGAACAGTGATAATTAGTTAAGAGTATTAAGAGGCGCGGAAATACTACTTCTTTAGCATGTTAAATGTACAATATTTATAATATATGAGTATGTTGAAGTCACCAATACTGACATTGATAGGAATTATACATTTTCAAAGACATCTGTTTATTAGTAACGCATTTACCTCAGGCATCGTCTTCAATTACTAACAAATTTGGCCGTTCTTCTTCAGCATTTTGAAATACTAAGCTTACACATAGTGGAAGGAAATCCACGATCAGTACTATAAATATAAGCTGAAAAAGAGAACATAAAAGTATGTGATATTTAAGTTTTTAAAGCAATTTATTGACGCAATGAATTAAAATGCATTCAACATAATACTGCTCAGCAAATTAAGTATTTGGTTACATGATCATTTAAGATATGGTATGATTGCTAATGAGACAAATATCCACCAAGATTAATTGAAATGGATGTAAGCAATTATAAGCAACCGTACGACATCAACCATGAGACAAACCCATACCGTATAGCTATACCAGCCCCAATTATATGTTTGGCTGTTTAAAAAGAATTCAATGTGCACTGAAAGATGTGTTTCTGGAATTTAAACATTATTAATTAATTGGTAGCAACATAATTATCTGACCATTTTCTGCAATCAAAAGTCATCAAATGATCAAGTTAAACGATTACAAATCAATTTGGTATTATTTCAAAGTAAACAAAAATCATGATTTTCTTGCCTTCAGAAGAAAATGCGTTTAAAGCAAGCACATTTTTGGAAAGTGCTACTACATTTTGTGTATTGAAATTTCCCTCAAAATGTAAAACAAATTTTCTTCTGATCACTTCAAACAATACAAAAACCTTTTGTTTTTATCATAGCCGTGTGCGTTACGGCAAAATAAAACTTTATTTAAAGATTTGAAAAATGTTATAAAAAAGCAAAAGGACTTCTACCACCAGGGAGCAGGCTTTTTAAAAGTTATTTTTGCATCTTTTTTGTTTTTGTTTAAACATTTAGAATATCTATAAAACTTTACACACTTCGAAGTAAAAATGTAACCACAGAAATGAAAAAAAATAAAGTAATACATTATGTTGAGAAATATATTTCTCACTATTGTTAGGATACCAATGTATCGGAATTTTTTTATAAATTGTTGAAGAAACTTTGATACTTTCATTGCAATATAATCATGAACTCCATTCTTGCAGTGAATATAATACTAGAACGCCATAAACAGGAATAAATATATACGAAATTCCTCTGATTTTAAATGAGTTAGTGAAAGAGCAGAACCCTCAATTGCATGCTACATTAATTTACAGGATGGAATATTTTGAAATGTTGGTACTTTTATCACAGCAATAGCTCCTCATCACAAAGGCATCTAAAATAAGTCTTCGTCCAAATATGGTCTAAACTTTAAGTACCGTTTGTTGATCATTCATAATTTAGACTATTGAAAAAGGGAAATTCTTCACAAGCTTACAGTACTGCAATAAGACATAGTGGTGATACACTTTTGCAATTGTAATCGAAGTTCTGTCATGAAAATGAACAGCCAACAAAATCAATACATTAAAACTAACCTTATAATTTTGTGCCATCATGAACTCTCTTCAGATTTATGAAAAATGAAATGTTCACTATGATATCATATGTTTTTTAGTGTGTTGACCTTCTCCTGAATCCTACGGTTTAACTATTAAACATCGATGTCTTATTCGAATATATGCTTCCGTGATATGTTGACAAATCAGAAAGTCAACCCACGTGTTTCTTAGGGTGAACCTGTTTTTTTTTCGAAGAAAGGTATACAAGTACCAATGTAAGTTCATAGGGACTGATATTTGATGACCAAGGAAGTGTTATATGTCTGAAAACAGTGATGTATCTGTTTTGATGGATATAAATTATAATGATCTGTCCAAATCAGCTGTTCGAGCATAGTTGATTTATATCAAGTGTTTTTTAATCATTTGTGATCAATATTCAGTTCTTGGAAATTAAATGTCAAATTTAAATCTGACAATTGATGTGATAGACGTTTTAAATATAATTAACATTTATTAAAACAACTTATTTGATAAGCATTTTTTTGGTAAATTTAATGAAATCTTTCCATAAAAATTACATTTAGATGTGAAAATGAACCGCCAACATCAAATACATTGCAGTGATACTAACCTTGTCATTTTGTGTCATCATGTTCCCTCTTCAAATGTACGGTTAAACGGGATAAAATGGGATGTTCAGTATAACATGTATAATATCGTACGTTTTTTAGTTTATTGACCGGTGAAACGTCGATGTTCTTTTAAAAATGAATGTTTCCGTTATCTGTTTGAGAAATTAGAAATCGCCTACATGTATCTCAAGGCAAATCTGTTCATTTCGAATCATTCGACTCATGTCCACCGTTCAATATGTAAATGCCAGAAGGAATATAATACAACTGTAAGTTAATAAGGATTGATGTTTTTAATCAAAATGAAGTATTATATTTATTAAAACAATGATTGAGAAGGAGCTTTTTACCATATGTGCAGTTGATTGTCTTTTTATTAATTTTTGGTTTCTTTCCATGGTAATGTCAGTTTGATTTCTATTGATGACTTTCGAATGTGAATAAACTAAATGTCTAGGCCTGCATCTTACAATATATCAGTCGGTTTGTTTGTTTGTTCATTTGACTGTTTTCTTATGAAACCATGCAATAATACCGACATAAATTTGTCATTTGACAATGTATCACATTTATCAACTTCAAACATTTCAAATCCAAGCATGTTTAATAATCTTAAACTGTGCATAGCTGTATGGACAAAATAGACTTGCAGATAAATCTTTATCAAAGGTCAAGTGAAAGAATTGAAACCTAAACCTCGACTTATCAATGGAGACTTCTAAAATGGGTATGATTTAAACAATGTCAATTACGAATCACTGACTATTGAGATAATGACCTTTCGCTGATTAACATTTCACCCGTAGTAGTATCAACCAAAATAGGACCTATAGAAGCCGACTTTGTCAAGGTGTAGACATTTGTTATTTGATATCACAAAAGACAATACTATCGTTAGAATGTTTTTCCGTAAAGAGAAAACTGAATGTATTTGTTATTTTTCCAGTTTATTATTTGAATCATCAATGCATATCCAATATGAAAAGAAAGATATAAGATATGATTACTAGTGAGGAAACAGTGTTCGTTGTCAGTATTTTTTTTTTTTTTTTTTTGGTTTTATGAGTTTGTTTGTCCCTCTGGTATCTTTTGTCTCTCTTTTAAAGACAGATCGACCAGTTCGTATGCTTTTTACATCTTTCAAGCTAACCGTAGACTTATCATCAGAGATATCTCAGTTGTTCTTGTCATCGCTACTCCTTCGCAACCGTAAACGATACTGACAAATACGTTTTTTTTGGCAAAATGCTTATAACATCTTTAGGATTTCGAATACAAATATGACCAGAGTAATCCTGATATTCCATACGAAAGTTATTTCTCCTAATTTCTATGATGTAATCGATATGTTTCTATATCTTGTAATCATTAATTGATAGATATCTAGAGCCCTCATATTTATAGTCCAGGAACAACAAAAAAAACGAAAACGAGACCAAGGTAGTCTTTTTTATTTTGACATTGGCTTCATATGCTTTTACTCAGAAAGAGATATAGACACATCAATTTAACAAATAATTAGTCGCAAATGTTATAATTTGAATAACAGTATTTGTCAAATTGATATCCGACATTTTTTTTTGCGGTTTCAATGCCCCTGAAATTATTTAATCTACATATTACCTAATTACAACTTTAAATGTTACAGCATATCAAAGTATATATGTATCTAATATAAATCGATCAATCAACCAAGGTCCATTTATCGTCGACGAACTCGCCCCATCCCGCCCTCGGTATGTTTGAGTTACCACAATTATATTAGAATTAAAATTGCCTTCTTTTCTGTGATGTTTTTGAAAAATGCAATCCGACACATGTATAACTTTCTGAAAGAGAAATCTGCTGTAATTTTCATGTTTTTTATTTTCCCAAAAAAAACAATCGAAAAACGTTTTATTTAATTACTATCATGATAATTGAATTTTTTTTTGGGGGCATGCACTGAATAAACACTCTAAGCCAGGGACAAGAGCTCTTCAATTTAGATGTAAATGAATAAGAAAATATAATCTCGTTAGCATTATGAATACTGGCCAGATCTGGGCTGAAAAATAAAAAAAATCAATGCAATTCAAATCACTCTCTTGTTCTTAGCTATTAGTGGTATCCTACATTTAAATTTCTAAACATGCACTAAGCACATACACTGGCATAACAATGGTGAAATAGGTACATTTTCTCAAAACAAAAAAGATTAATTTGTAATTTAGTATCACAAGAAACAAAGACACAAAACATGTATTATCAAACATCAATTATGTGTAGTAACTAAAATCAATAGTTAGTGTGTTATTCCATCCATACACATGTTGTCGTGTTGACAAACTCTCTTAAAAAGACTTCAAGTAGACCATCATTTTGCCTTTGATATCGATACTTCGTGACGTCATAATCACACCATCTTCGAATAGAATACGAAATATGCAGGTGATTTCAACAAAAGTTATAATCTACTAGTAGACACGGTTGCTCCACAAAATTAAGAGAAATAAAAGTGCATACAACAAAAACATAGAACATGAATCACTGGGGTCATTATTAAAGAATGAAGACATTACTAAAGGAAGATGCAAGGATATTTTATTTAAAGAGAACAGCAATGTTAGTAAAAACCTTGTAATAAGTCTAATTCGGTGAGTAACATTTGTGAAAAGGGACGGGCTTGTTGTTACGACATTAGGAACATATCCACTACAATCTGTGAAAGGGATATTCTACAACGGTCAAACACATCGCGATGGGGATGATTTCAACTTCAGCACTCGAAACTCTTAGTTTGATATGCCCATGTATACATTCAAAAGTGCAAACTACAGAGTTCGCAAAGATATTTAAACTATTATACTGAATTTCAAGTTTATGTATAAGAATGCTTCATACATATTACACAAGGGAGATAACTAAGCAAAAATCTGAAAGTTTTAATCCCGTTCTTTTGTAAAGACAATATCAAGCAGCTAAACATTAGTGATAGTCAAACTGCTGTATATCCAATAATATTTATTTTTTCTCGATAACATGTGTTTTACATTTTTATATTTCTGTCAAAGGGCCAAAGTTAATAGTTTGTTATTTAACGAAAATGAAACGAGCCAAATCAATTTAACCAAGATGTTTGGTACCACCTGAATATCAAGTTACAATTAAAATATTGCTACATATTATGTCAATAGATTTTCCTGATCCTTCTTCTCTGTCTCTTTTTGCACTTTATACAATACAAAGAACAGATATAATCATGGTATCTGCTGGAACAGCCATATCTACAAATAAAAAGAACAAAATGTATTCCTAAATATGACGCTTATGTATGAGGTGCTCAGAACCAGGAGTAAATTTGCTAAAAACCTCGGAATAACCTCACACATTTTTTACACTTCTACGTGGATAAAAATATTACTGTCATGCTTTAATTAAACAGTGAAAAGGTGTAATCTTTGAAACGGCAAGTGAAGTTTCAGGGATAAATATAGCTTCTTTTCAAAAGAAGATCTTTCTGTTTGACTGTTTTTAGAGTCTTCTTTTACAAAATTTATGAACGACTTTGTGTTTTTATTTACAGATGATGTATCTTAAAGGGCCATTTTTTTAATTAAACTAAGTTATACAAATTCTTTCAATCAATCTAAAACACATTAATGAAACATCTGAATAGTGTTAAAATGACGCATTTGTATAGTTTTGCAAGGAGAAAATGATTAACATTGTATTTTCTCTGATATTTTGAGAGATTTAGCATTGACTTCTAATTCACAGCTTTAAATGCTGGGTGGGAAGAATAGTCATCTGTACATTTTTTTGAATGGTGGTTGTCATTGCTGATGAAAAATATTAATGATTTGCAAAGAGGTTTCGTGGTGCATTTTAGTGACTATTCATTGTACATATCATTATCGAGTGTATCTTGTAGAGTGAAGAACTTGAAAATAAGGAGATGTTGTATGATTGGCAATAAGAAAACTATCGACCAAACTTCAAAGAAGTGAATGTAAGCAATCACGTGCAACCGTACGGGCTTCAATAATAAGAAAACCTTCATACTGTATGGTCGGCTTATCATTTTTGTTTATACAGTTAAGCTTTGGTTGAACTCCCAAGCCGAAAGAATAAATCTAGCCTGTTGAAAAATTCCTCGTCAGTAAAAACAGTAATTTACTGTGGTTTTAGTGTTAAAAATTTATTAGAAAGACTAATAATCACATATTGACTTACCTAATTAGACTTATCACAGGGTTTGTTTTTACATTAACAACACGACAAGTGAAGTGAAGCAGGATCTCCTCTCCCTTCCAGAGCACATGAGATCACTCCCGGTTTTTGGTAGGGTTCTTATGGCTCAGTCTTTGGTTCACTATGATGTGTTTTGTATAGTTTTTATATTTTAGTCTTTTTATCTATTTTGCCATTGTTTTGTAAATGCATTTTCGACTTATGAGTTTGAATGTTCCTTTGACATCTTTCAACTCTCTGTCACTATATGCATTCACACTCAAGTCAACATTGGTACAATCAGAAAGAAGACACGGTTGATAAAATTCAAAAAAGACTTTTCTTGTATCCTAATATTTGATACTACTGAAACATGTCGCTAGTTGGTTGAGACACGGACAAATCGTGTCAGTCAACCATTTTGTGATCGATTGATTGTGTGTAACTCGCTTTACGTCAAATGGCAAATAGTGCATTTTTAGTACGAAAAAAAAAATGAATGACGGGAAGTTTGGAATGACAATTGAAAAAATGGAATAGTGGATAGGGATAGGAGTTTTATTAGCCTTTGAACACGCCCATACAGTCCGATTGAAGAGTTGTTCCAAGTATTCTCAACTCGAATTGTAATCTGACATTCAGCAGTGAGGAATAGTAGTATTGAAAAAGGGACATATGAGCTAAGGGTGTTTTAATGTTTAATAATGATAAGCTCAACAAACTTAAGTAGTTCGAACTTTAAATGCAAGCTTACCATTGGTCCAGTTTCTAGGTGTGAAGTTTTTGGTGTACAGGAAAAGTGGAATGGTTCCTTTCTTTTCCCATGGACAAGAAGGAGTTTGATCAATAACAACAAACCATCCATCATCTCCTGGACATCCATGATAACTTTTATTTACAAAAAACTTGCGCCGTGAATTTCTGAAGAAATAATCAGATATCAACTTGATCACATTTAAAATTAATGTTTACCTGTATATGATAATATAAATTATTTCCAGTGCCTGAGGGAGATATGAAGATGTGTTCACCCAAGAACATTCATATTTCATGAAAGCATCGCCCGATGGAACTATATCTTTTCGAGGGTGAAAACATCTTCATATCTCAATAAGCCAATTGAAAATGAATGTTTTATTCCACTACCTATACTTTTTTCCTTCCTGAACATTATTCTTTATCTTATCCGCTTCTTTTTGTTTTTGTAACTAAACACTACATGAAGAATGATAATAAAAACTAAACATAATCTATTCATTATAATTCCTTTTTTTCTTTTAGACCTGAATTAATTTTGAAAACGAAATTACTTTACAATCTCTAAAAATATTTAAAACGTTATTTAAATATTAATCGCACGTAATGTTGTATACGGAAGTTCCGAGGGGAATATGATACTCAGTGGGAAATATAAAGTTTTGTTCGACGTCATGTGGCATAGTCTCGTCCAATCAATTGTTGATTTCGCTATCAATATTAATAAGCAGTGCAATAATATCATTAGAGATAATTTAATTTGACACAATGTAAAACATTGTAAAATATTATATAGTATATGATATGATATGGTATGATGTATAGTATAATATTACATTACTTAATTGTATCTTTAGCAATATATTAAAAATTATCATAGAATGCATGATATACAGTTAGTGATAAAGTTTTAATATTTAGAAATAAATGCACAGCAAGGGAGAATAATTGTAATTAGTTATATAACCGATAATAACGTTCTTATGTGCAGTTTCCAAACATTTCACTTGCCAATTGGAAATAATACAACTTTTTAGCAAAAAATACAAATATAACTACTGACCTAACAACAAAGTTGATTGCATGGATAATGGTTATATTTTTTCGTTTATTGTATGCCTATAGTCATGCAATCATTAAAACTCTCTTGATCATTACAAGTATAATTATTGCCGTTTTAATCTGTTCTCTTTAAAACGACTCTGAATCAACAAGTCGGTGTAAGTACATGTTTTTGATACCGTCAACATGGTCATGTATTGTTCCTGCATGTATCAAGAATATTTTATTGTCAATTTACTCCTATTTCCTTACCATGTTTACTGTATACAAAATAAGTGTTAGTCATTAAAATAAACTATTAGTAAATTATTTACCCAGTTATTGAAAAGAAGTTAAATGTACTGCAGGATTCCAAGTCATTAAAACTACTGTCTGCTAGATTTGCTCTACTAAACCAGTTCATCTTATCTGTATGTCTGCCATTAAAGGACATCCATGCAACAACATGATTATTCTTGAAAAATTCTATTTTCACCTGTGAACATTAAAATAAACAAACACAAAAAAATTAAAAATTAAATGCTACGTCATAGTAAAATGTCGTTGGTTATTTTGTTATTGTTTGTACAACAGATAATTTAGTTAACCTACATGTCTATAAACTTATCTTTCGTATTGAAAAGAATTAAAACAAACAATATTAAACACCATGTTCAAGCCTTGGGCTTCGTCTTTATGTAATTGGTGCCTTTGTTGTTCGGTATTTGTTATAGATATAGAGCTGGAACTTCTTTCTTTGTTTCTTTAGTTATATCTGTTATCAAATACAAGTTACCGTCTTTATATTTGCAGTACCCCAATTATCGATAATTCTATTTCTTAAATGGCGGCTTGTGCCCTGAGTAACGAACGATGTTGGTAGATCGTTACACAATGCCTGGTTGTTCCATGCTTCAAGAACGGGCTTTCCATTTCCGGAAAATGCTATAAACACAGGAAACCAAACTAAAATGTAAAAGTTTTTATTTCACATTTCATGTCAGATAAAATATCGTATGATATAAATGTTTAAGAAGGACATTTCTATAGTAATGTGCCTTTAATAAAAAAAAAAGATGTTGTTTATCGTCTTAATAACGTGTTATATTATTCTTTTATTTGTCTTAAATATTATTACTTTTACTGTTTAGTCTGTTTTTTTTTTTTTTTTTGGTGATATCCTTTAGACGTGACTCTAAACTTATTTATCCATCAATGTGTTATTCTTATTACTTATACACCCCGTCATTGTGTTATTGTTCTATGACAAGTTGTGCATTCTTGTCTTTCATTTTTGCTTATGTGCTTTGTTTATATGCCATTTTGTGTTAACTTTCTTTATTACATATGACTTGGCTCTGTACTTATACATCCCGTAATTATGTTCTTGTGGTATTGTAAATTTTTGTATTCTTGTCTTTCATTTTTGAATACATTATGATTTGTCTATATGCCTTTTTGTGCTTCTTTGTTACATATTTGTTTGTTTTCGTAGTGATGAAGATTATAACACAATGTTGACTGCTGTTCCTCTTTTTTTGACATTTTTATCAACTGTGTGTGTTTGTTTTGTACGCACATCGTTGTCAATATAACGGAATTTGATGCTACTTTCATACAAGTGAGACGTTTAGCTAGTTATAAAACCAGGTTTAATCAACCATTGTGTACATTACAAAATGCCTGTACCAAGTCAGGAATATGACATTTGTTATCAATTCGTTTGATGTGTTTGATTAGGGACTTTCCATTTTGAATTTTCCTCGGAGTTCAGTATTTTTGTGATTTTACTTTTTAAATGCTTCATAAAACTACCAGCACTAACATGTATGTAGTTCTTACCTTCTGTTGTGCTGACACTTTCGTGAACAACAAGCAAAACCAGAACTAAGATACACATGGTCATTTCAGCATTCGGTTTCATACTATATCATGAAAAAAAATATTATTAAAATAGCTACATTATGCCTTTATAAGCATATTTTCAAAATAAATTACATTATTAACAAATAAAACGTAAGAATATTGTTATTAGAATAAAATAGAATAGAACATATTATATAAGGTAGGGTTATATGAAACATTACAAACATAAGCTCTATAGAACTTTTTGCCGACACTTTTTTTTTTGTGATCTGTTTTAGTTATTTGTTTGCGTTATATTACACTAGTAGCAAGATTTCAGTCTGAAACGGTCATTTTGGTCTGATCAAGTCTGAATCAACTGAATTTACCGCTAGGGAAAAACGTTAAGACTTTTTAAGACTTTCAGACGCTGTTCAGATATGTCGTGTTCAGTCCGTTCATTCATGTCAAGATAAACAAGACAGAAGGCTCTAGCTGTTAAACAAGATATGTTAAGACGGTTTTAGACGAATTCAGACCAAACATAAAAAGTAATGTTCAAAATTTTCAGATCGGGTTAAGATCCGTTTAGTGTGTCAGAATGATATTAGGAGTTACGCCCCTTCATGTGGATGATACATTTTAATTATAAAAAAATTACAATATAAATGCTAGAATGAAAAACGTATATTTTTAATAATTAAACATAAAATCATTGGTTGACGTTTTATTTCTGTTGGTCTTTTTTTAAGAGATTAGTGATTTTGTTTTGTTGAGGAAATAACTTATTCGCCTATAACTGTTTATGATTTTATTTTATTTTTTATTTTCTGATGTTAATTTATGTATTTATCTACTTATTCTTTGAAAAGAAGTAATTGCAAATTTTAAACATAACATTATCAAAAGAGTGAAAACACCTTATAAATTTCATGCGTCTGAAGCACGTTTCTGGATTTAACTTCATCGGGAACGATAAACGTAAATACAAATATGTTTTATGTCAGATAATTTATATCGTTAATTTCGTTATCTTTCGATACTTTCCTCTAAAACTTAATAATTACTTCGTGGCATTTAGTAATCATTCCCCGTGCGTGTTATTCTTTTTATATTTGGACAACCGTCTTCTTTTTTTTTTTTTTTGCTTTTATTTCGTAGTGATGCGTAGTCACCAAGGCCGCATCAGGGAACCATGTCTCCGAGTGCAGTTAATATTCTGAAAACTGCACTTAGACCGTGACGAGACAATAAAACTATAAATAACATACCATCGGAAAGAAGAAGATGTTGATGGGAGGGGGCGGGGAGGAGGTTACAGAATAGAGAATGAGTGGCAATAAATATAAAGAATAGAGAAAATGAATAAAAAAAAATAAAGAATAGAGAATAATAAGGTGCTTGAATATAAAGAATTGATAATAATAGACAAAAAGTTTAAAGAATAGAGAAAATCGGCATAAAAAATTAAAGAATAAAGAACTAGAGGCTCTAAAGAGCCTGTGTCGCTCACCTTGGTCTATGTGCATATTAAACAATGGACACAGATGGATTCATGACAAAATTGTGTTTTGGTGATGGTGATGTGTTTGTAGATCTTACTTTACTGAACATTCTTGCTCCTTACTATTATCTCTATCTATAATGAACTTGGCCCAGTAGTTACAGTGGAAAATATTTTGTAAAAATTTACAAAAATTTACAAAATTTATGAAAATTGTAAAAAATTGACTATAAAGGGCAATAACTCCTTAAGGGGTCAATTGACAATTTTGGTCATGTTGACTTATTTGTAGATCTAACTTTGCTGTACATTATTGCTGTTTACAGTTTATCTCTATCTATAATAATATTCAAGATAATAACCAAAAGCTGCAAAATTTTCTTAAAATTACCAATTCAGGGACAGCAACCCAACAACATGTTGCCTGATTGGTCTGAAAATTTCAGGGCAGATACAATTTTATACCATCAGATTTGCTCTAAATGCTTTTGTTTCAGAGATATGAGCCAAAAACTGCATTTTACCCTATGTATTATTTTTTTGCCATGTCGGCCATCTTGGTTTGCGGGCAGGGTCATCGGACACATTTTTTAAACTAGATACCCTAATGATGATTGTGGACAATTTTGGTTAAATTTGTCTTAGTAGTTTCAGAGGAGAAGATTTTTGTAAAAGATTACAAAAATTTACGAAAAATGGTTAAAAATTGACTATAAAGGGCAATAACTCCTTAAGGGGTCAACTGACCATTTTGGTCAAGTTGACTTATTTGTAGATCATACTTTGCTGAACATTATTGCTGTTTACAGTTTATCTCTATCTATAATAATATTCAAGATAATAACCAAAAACGGCAAAATTTCCTGAAAATTACCAATTCAGGGGCAGCAACCCAACAATGGGTTGTCTGATTCATCTGAAAATTTCAGGGCAGATAGATCTTGACCTGATAAACAATTTTACCCCTGTCAGATTTGCTCTTAATGCTTTGGTTTCAGAGATATAAGCCAAAATCTACATTTTACCCCTTTGTTCTATTTTTAGCCATGGCGGCCATCTTGGTTGGTTGGCGGGGTCATCGGACACATTTTTTAAACTAGATACCCCAATGATGATTGTGGCCAAGTTTGGTCAAATTTGGCCCAGTAGTTTCAGAGGAGAAGATTTTTGTAAAAGTTTACGGACGACGGACGACGGACGACGGACGCAGGACGACGGACGACGGACGCAAAGTGATGAGAAAAGATCACTTGACCTTTCAGGTCAGGTGAGCTAAAAAAAGGACCCCCTCCAGATCCTCATAGAAGTTTTCGTTAAAACAATACAACCTAATTTAAGTTCAGCATCTAGTATATATCCTTGTAAATGCGTTAATCCTTTCTTTCATTTTAATAACAATTTTATTTAATATAAAATAATTATGTATTTATTTGTTTATTCAAGTTGCACTATAGCAAATAATTCTTCTTCGCCTTTTTCTTCCTATAATAGTAATAAATGTATTCGTTATTTAATATTTTCTGTCAATAAAGATTGAATTCGATGGCACGTGCCACTAATCAAAAATGATCCTTAAACTATCAAAAACTTGGCAATTACAATGGCTATTTCACAATTACATCATATGTACACCTGTCATGGTATCATAGCTCCGTTCATGTATGTGTAATTTAAGGTTCTGACACATTTTATAATACTAGTAGCTTCTTTCTGAACACTATTGACGACATTGTTAAAACTGCACGAACATATCACAAAACCGCAAATTTAGTGGTTAAAAAATAAACGATAATGACAAAAAAATAATTAAAAACTAAAAACAAAACAAAATTCTGTTGGAAGTAGCATATATTTACATGTATAAATTGTCTAGTGCTTTTATTACAGCGGTATACTTGTTTTATACACAGACCATATTCTGATCATATTCTATGCTAAGATATTGACAAGTCAGAAGTATATATGTTAAAAGTCGTTTTAAATCAATTCATTTCACAGCTGAGGCAAATGTTCCTTCCCATTGTTGAATGGAGGTTAAATAAATGTGAACAATAAAAAAGATGTATATTTCTTAGGCATGGAGCTAGGCATTTCTGAAGTATCTTTGATAGCATTTTTTTCCTATCAAAAATGTATGCTGGTATATATGTAACTCTAGGTGTTTACCTAAAATGTTATGTATATGTAAAAGTTTAAGATTTTTTTTTTAATATTTGCCAAAAAAAAAACATTATCCGGAAAACCATATAATGGCGTTTTGTCCTTTAATTCTGTTTTTGTGTTTTTCTAACCTACCTTCTAATTGATACGTTAATCCAAACAGTGCAAGTGTGTAATGCAAACATGCAAAATTCGGCTTTGGTGTATCATGTTAAAACAATACCCATAAATTATGATAATTTTCAATAATTTTAGATAAGATTATGCAAGGAAATGTGTTATTGTTTTCTATTTATCTAGCAAAATTGTATCTTTTTTTACACAAAGATGTCGATAAATAAATTTGATACCCTGCATTTATCATGCATTTCAATAGCATATTGTCAAATTGTTAAAAGATCTCCTCCTTAACAGGGAATCCGTTAGTATTGAAAGTCCCTGTCCTAAATTATTGAATTTGTCATTCTGCATTGACAATATTCAATTTATCTTGGTGTAAGTAATACGCACTCATTCGGGCTAACGCCCTTAATGTGTATCTAATACATATTATTTTCTCCCTCGTTTCACCCCTCCGATAATAAAGTTTTTTCTTAACTAGATATCGTAGAAAAACCAAACACAGTATAGGGTTGTGCGTTCGCTACAAGATCGCCTTGAATTTAACATGTTCAACATAAATATATACAATCAGCCATGCAAAAAGGCATAACATTTGTGTCAACTAATTCTGCCTCTTTAAAGGTCAAATGAAAGTTAGTCATTTCACTCTACTATGGAATGAAATGAACGAGAGAACTTTTGACGTGGTATAGTTATAATATAACTGTTCTTTATACTTAATATACTGAGTTTGTACTGCAAGCCGAAAAATCCACTTTGCTCTCTGGATGTCTCTTGGCTTTTGTTTTTGTTTTTGGTTTGTTTGCTATATTATTGACGTAAATAAAACCAACAACTCCTTTTATTCAGATATATAATTTGAGTTCTGTAAATTTCTAGACGTACGTAAGAATGAAAGACGAAAATGCAGGTTTAATAAATGGTCATCAAAGAGCGACACAATTAAAAAGAAATAAAAATATAGTTATTACAGCTACAGTCATTTTTTTTTTCTCTATTAAAACATATTTGATACTTTTTGCGCTATTGTCATATATCAAAAAAAATCTAACATTTCCATAAGCTTTCTGTGATTTCCCCGATTCACCATTATGATGTCATGCCACTTGCTATATGGATTCAGAAAACAAATTTACGAAATCTATGACCACACAATTGTAACTGTTCCTATCTTTATTAACAAAATTTAGTGTAAATATTTACAACTATAAAAATTAGTAACAGTGGTGGTCTATTCTGCCCGGAAAACAATGCGGACTAAATCTGTGTACAGTGCACGTGGCGGATCCAGTC